CTTCTTTATCCAGCCATCTGTCAATAGACATTTAGATTGTTTCCATGTCTTAGCTATTATAAATAGTGCTGCTATGAACATTGGGATGCATGTATGTTTTTGAATTACGGCTCCCTCTGTATATATGCCTAGGAGTGGGATTGCTGGATCATATGGGTAAGACTATGGTTAAGTCATATATTAGATTTTAAAGTTGTAAAGATGTGGAAAAGCAATTAGAATAATAAAATACTGAGCATCTTTACTGTCCTTGAACTATATTACTAGACAAAGCCATGTTAGATGAAATTAGAAATAATAATGTTTGTTCATGGAATGTATTATTTGTATTAATTCTTATTTATCTTTGAACCTCCAGCACTAACTAGAACATACTAACCATGGGAAACAAAAATAGTTAGCTAAGTTAAAATCGTCCTTACCCAATGAAATCACAATACAGTTGCAAGAAGTTGTAAATAATCTACTGTATCAATGGGCAAGGGCCAGAGGACAAGAGAATCACTTGTAAAACATCTAATAAGCCTTATTGGTGTATTTATCATTTACTGACATACAGACAATTTACAGTACAAGTGAAGGTGAAAGTAGTGTTTTCAGGATATTTTTCTACCTACTTATATTTGGGAGTCTTCAGTATTTCTCTAAAAATATATCTTGATGAGAGGATTGAAAGAGATAAGAGAGGGAGTATTATTGTTTATATTTGTCAGTAATTCAAACAACACCATCCCAGGGTGCTGGGGATACAAAGTTGAATAAGACAGTTTCTGCCCTCATAGACATCAGAGTCCAGGGGGAATGACAGAATTGTAAATAACTATAATAGAGTATCATTAGTGCCCTAATAGAGGTAGGCTCAGAATGCTTTGACAGAACAGGTAAAGGGGTATCTTTCCCTATCTATGAGCTTAAGGAAGGCTCCCCAGAGGAGATGGCGTTTGAACTAAGTGCCTTTGGGACTGGAAATTAAGGAGTCCTTGGTGGCTTTAATGAGAGCAATTTCTATTGTAATGAGAGACAAGATCCAGA